GTGTGTGCGTGCATGTGTGTGCGTGTGTGTGTGTGTGTGATTATGAGCATGTGGCAGCAGCATTTCAGTGTCGTATGCACAGACATCCTTTGTCATCCTCTAAGGGGTCTGGGGAAGGAATCAGATAAACTTGGAGAACTTCAAGTTCCAGGTTCTGTTTCTAGCCTGGGAATGCTCAAAGGCCTCCCCAGCTGTTCTGTGTTTGGATTTGGCTTTCAAGAGGTGGGAGGGTGGTTGGAGCTGCTCCTGGATGTCTCTGAGCCTCTTGAAGAACACTCTGAGTGCATGAGAAAACATCTCTTCACTGCCTACAGCAGATGCCATGTGCTGAAGACCACTGGCAAAGCAGGAATTAGAAAGAAGGATTCTGAGCCCAGAAGTAAACCCTCATGTATGTGATCAACTAATACTTGATGAGCGAGCCAAGAACACCCAATGGGGAAAGGATAGTCTTCAAAAAAGGTGTTTGGAAAACTGGATAAGCACATGCAGAAAAATGGAATTGGACTGCCATCTTCCACCACTCGCAAAAATTAACTCGAAATGGATCATAAGACCCAAAGCTAAAATTCCCAGAAAAAAACATAGGGGAGAAACTCCTTGACATCGGTCTTGGCAATAGTTTTTTGGGATATGCACAAATGAAAACAAAGCAAAACTCGACAAATAGGACTGCATCAAACTTAAAACCTTCTGCACAGCAAAGGAAACAGTTGACAATATGGAAAGACAACCTACAGAATGGGACAAGACGTTTGCAAACCATGCATCTGATAAGGGGTTAATATCCACAATTTATAAAGGATTCATACAACTCAATGACCAAAAAATCCCTTAAGCAATCTCATTAAAAAATGGGCAGAGGAACTAAAGAGATGTTTTTCCAAAGAAGACATCCAAATGGTCAACGGGTACGTGAAAAGATGCCCAGTGTCATTCATCATCAGGGAAATGCAAATCAAAACCATAATGAGGTATCAGCTCACACCTGTCAGAATGGCTAGTATCAAGAAGACAGGAGATAACAAGTGTTGGTGAGGATGTGCGGAAAAGGGAACCCTTGTGCACTATTGGTGGGAATGTAAATTGGTTCAGCTACTGTGGCAGTTCCTCAAGAAAATTAAAAATACAGTATGATTCAGCAATTTCATTTCTGGGTATATACCCAAGAGAAATGAAGAGGATATTGAAGAGGTATACACAATCCCAGTATTTATTGTAACATTATTAACAATAGTCAAGATATGGAAACAAGCTGTGTGCCTGTCAACAGATGAATTGGTAAAGAACCCCCCCCACACAGAGTGGAGTATGATTCTACATGAGAAAGAAGGAAATCCTGCCATTTTCGACAACATGGATGGACCTTGAGGACATTATGCTAAAGTGAGATAAGTCAGAGAAAGACACATACTGTATATTATCACTTATTTGTGGAATGTAAAAGGGCCAAACTCACGCAAGCACAGTAAAAAGTTGGTTACCAGGGGTTGGGGGTGGGGTGGGGGAATAGGAGAGAGGTTATTTAAGGGTACAAACTTGCTACTAGCAGATAAATGAGTCCTGGAGATCTAATAAGATGGTATAGTGAATATAGACAACAATATTGCATTACATTTATCAAGCTTGCTAAGAGACTAGATCTTAATTGTTCCTACCACAAAAAAGAAATGATAATTATGTGACACCATAGAGGTGCTAAATACAACAGCAATCATATCACAGTATATAAGTGTATCAAATCAACATGTTGTATGTTTTAAACTTACATAATATTACATGTCAAATGTATGTCAAATATATTTCAATAAAAAAGGGCCGTTCTGTACACTTGGCATATAGCCCCCGAAGTATAGAAATCCAGGGCCCTCACTCTCCCCCTGAACTGTGACCCTGACAGTTCTCCAGGAGCTCAGCACCCTGGCCATCTCCCAGTCCCCAGAGACACCGTCCGCCATGGTGGAGTCACATGCTGTCCCTGCTCCAGCTTCTTGGGACCCTCAATTTATAGGTCTTAGTCTGGTGACAGGAGCAGTGGGGATGCAATCGTTCTGAGGTTGAAGAATTTCATTCACTATACAACAAATATTTGTTGTGCATCTGCCTTGTATCAGACAAGTGTGATACACTTTTATGTTTATTCCACTGAGTCCATGTGATAATCCTGTGAGATGGGAATTCCCTTCTCCATTTAACAGATGAGGAAACCAAGGCTCAGAGGGGCAAAGAACACAGCTGGAGAGGGGTCAGGTGGCTCTGGAATATCCATCCTCTGACATCAAGGGTAGTTTGTGTAGATCACCTCGCATGTTATTGCGGTGTTCAGGTGCTCAAATATTTGCTTTGCTCCCTTTTTCCTTTGCAATCTGCATTGTAGACTGTGTCCCTGTGTCCTTGAGTGTAGAGCCTGTGGTTGGGAGGAGCTGGGAGACCGTAACCTGGGGTAGGGTTCCAGGGAGAGTGGCCAGGTTTAGCAAATAAAAATGCAAGATGCCCAGTTGGATTTGAATTGAATTTCAGATAAACAATGAATGTTTTCATTTTAATATAACTATGTCCCATACAATTTTTAGGATATACTTATGTTAAAAAAGTATTCCCTTGTTTATTTAAAATTCAAATTTAACTCTAGTTTCCAGTGAAGCTTGCAGTTGATCTAATGCTGAAGAAGTCTCCATTTGCAGAGGCTGGGACTGGATTCAGCTTTGCTCTTGAGCTCTGTGGGCTCTCCAAGCTCTTTCTGAAATCAGCCTCACCATCTACGCTCAAGATTACAAACTGGCAACTTGGGCAAAATCTAACCCAGCCATGTTTTGTTTGGCTGGCATGATGTTGACTTTTTTTTTTTATGATTTATTTATTTATTTGAGGTGGACGGCGGGGGTGGGGGGTGTGCCAAAGAGAGAGAGAGAGAATCTCAATAAGACTCCCACTGAGCATGGAGCCCTTTGTAGGGCTCAATCTCACGACCTGAGCCAAAATCAAGAGCTTAAATCAAGTTGGCTTAACCAACTGAGCCACCCAGGCGCTCTGGGCATGATGTTGACTTTTAAAAAGTTGGTCAATTTTTGAAAACCAGGAGTTTCTACATACAAATGTAAATGACATCTTTTTAAAATTTTATTTTAATTCCCATGTAGTTAACATTCAGTGTTAGTTTCAGGTGTCCAGATTAGTGATTCAGCAATTCCATACATCACCCTGTGCTCATCACGAGTGTGACTCCTTAATCCCCATCACCTCTTTCACCCAGCAGCCCCCCCCCATAACCATCCGTTTTTTCTCTATAGTTAAGAGTTTGTTTCTTGGTTTGACTCTCTTTTTTCCTCCTTTACTTGTTTTGTTTCTTTAAATTCCACATATGAGTGAAATCATATGGTATTTGTCTTTCTCTGACATACTTATTTCACTTAGCATTATGTTCTATCCATGTTGTTGCAAATGACAAGATTTCATTCTTTTTTATGGCTGAATAATACTCTGTTGTATATATATATATACCACATCTTCTTTATCCATTCATCTATTGATAGACACTTGGGCTGCTTCCATAACTTGGCTATTGTAAATAATGCTACTAAAAGGTCAGGGGTGCATGTATCCCTTTGAATTAGTACTTTTGTATTTTTTGGGTAAATACCCAGGAGTGTGATTACTGGATTGTAGAGTAGTTCTATTTTTAACTTTTTTAAAAAAAGTTTTATTTTATTTTATTATTTATTTAGACTTTATTATTTATTTGGACAAAAGATTTTTATTTTTAAGGAATCTCTACACCCAACATGGGGCTCGAACTCACAACCCTGAGATCAAGAGTTGTATGCTCTACCCACTGAGCCAGCCAGGTGCCCACAACCACCCCCACCCCCACCCCCACCTTTTTTTAAAGACAGGTGCCCCCTTGGGGTGCTTGGTTGGCTCATTCAGTTAAGTGTCCAAATCTTGATTTTGGCTCGGGTCATGATCTCAGAGTCATGAGATCGAGCCCTGCCTGAGATTCTGAGCTGAGTGTGGAGCTGGCTTAAGATTCTCTCTCTCCCTCTGCCCCCCAGTCCCTACCCCTACTCTCTCTCTCTTTCTCAAAAAAAAATTTAAAGGCAGGCACCCCCTATTTTTAACTTTTTGAGAAAACTCCGTACCATTTTCCACAGTGGCTCCACATCCTTGCCAATACTTGTTGTTTCCTGTTTTTTATTTTAGCCATTCTGACAGGTGTGAGGCGATATCGCATTGTAGTTTTGATTTGCATTTCCCTGATGATCAGTGACGTTGAACATCTTTTCATGTGTCTATTGGTCATCTGGATGTCTTCTTTGAACAAATGTCTGTTCATTTCTTTGCCCATTTTTAATTGGATTATTTGTTTTCTGAATGTTGATTGGTATTAGTTCTTTATATATTCGGATACTAATCCTTTATTGAGTATGTCATTTGCAAATATCTTCTCCCATTCAGTTGGTTGCCTTTTAGTTTTGTTGATTGTTTCCTTCACTGTGCAGAAGCTTTTCCTTTTGATATAGTCCCAATAGCTTATTTTTGCTTTTATTTCCCTTGCCTCAGGAGACATACCTAGAAAAATGTTGCTATGGCTGATGTCAGAGAGATTACTGCCTGTGGTCTCTTCTAGGATTTTCATGGTTTCAGATTTTTAGGTCTTTAGTCCATTTTGAGTTTATTTTCTCTGTATGGTATAAAAGTAAGTGGTCTAGCTTTATTCTTTTGCATATAGCCAATCCAGTTTTCCAAACACCTATTGTTGAAGAGACTGTCTTTTTCCCATTGGATATTCTTTCCTGTTTTGTCAGAGATTAATTGACTGTATAATTGTGGGTTTATTTCTGGATTTTCTATTCTGTACTGTTGATATATGTGTCTACTTTTGTCCCAGTACCACACTGTTTTGGTCACTACAGCTTTGTAATATAACTTGAAGTCTGGAATTGCGATACCTCCAGCTTTGCTTTTCTTTTTCAAAATTGGTTTGGCAATTCAGAGTCTTTAAAAATATGGAATGCCTCATGAATTTACATGTCAACCTTGTGCAGGGGCCAAGCTAATCTTCTCTATGTCATTGCAGTTTTAGTGTATGTGCTGCTGAAGTGAGCACTAAATTTCTGACTTTTTTTTTCAAGTTTTTATTTAAGTTCAAGTTAGTTAACATATATGGAAAAATTGGTTTCAGGTGTAGAATTTAGTGATTCATCACTTACATATAACACCCAGCACTCATCACAAGTGCCCTCCTAATGCTCATCACCCATTTAACCCACCCTCCAACCCCCAAAAAATCTAATCTGCCATGCTGAGCCCTTAAGACCACATGGCAGCAGTTGTCTGCAGCCAGGCACTAGCATCCCTCCTAGACAGGGCATGCACTCACCAGTTTGCCCCGTTCCCATTCCCATCCCTCCCTGTGGTTACATCCTGCCCACTTGATTCACTTCTACTTGTCCAGCCCTTGTAGGCATTGAGTTTTTGACTCCTGATCGACACTATGTGCCAAAAAGTCTACTCTTGCAATGACAACAAAAATATCCAGAATTTTCATTGGACTGGCTCCACCCATTTCTTCCATTTTATTGCATCGCCCTTCCAGTCCCCTCCCTCAATGCACTGATGACCATGCGCTGGTTGCTGATTATCCCCTACCCCCAAGGAATGCCAGCCTGACCCCAGAAGGCCAGGCCATGGGCATGGTTCCCTTCGAGATGTCTCCCCGAAGCCCTCCCTGACTCCTAGAATCCCTCTGTTGCATACACAGAATCACATTGCCATTTAGTTGAATTTCTTCATTGTACAGATTAAGAAATGGAAAATGTGACATTCAAGAATTGCACGCAATGAAAACTGTGACTAGAACTCAGGCAACAGGGACGTGGGAATTTCTCACCAAACCACGTGCTATTTGTGAGGCTCTTGCCTCAGTGCCCCTCACATCTTCACTGCAGGGCACCGTGCCATATGCATAATGAGCTCTCTGACTGACTGATTGATTGCTCACTCAGCGCTCCTGGCAAAGCATTTCTCACTCTGTTGAACAAATTATCTTTATGCATTGCAGTCTCTAGAGCTGAGGTTAGGGGGAGCTCACTATAATCTTCAAATCATTTAGCAATGTCTTGGAACCACTGGACCTGATACAAGGATCTAGGAAAAACATCCCCTGTTGGCCTGTGGAAAGGAAGGGGGTGGGGAAAGCAGGAACTCTGAGGCACTATGCTAAGGATTTAAGTTTTATTTTTTACTGCCTGCAGCCAAACGTTGCTCACCGCCTGTTTTTATAAAGTTTTATTGGAACACAACCATACATTCACGCACAATGGCAGGGTTGAGTGGTTGCAGCAGAAACCGTATGCTCTGCTGATCCTAAAAGATTTATTGTCTGGCTCTTTATAGAAAAAGTTTTCTGAAGCTTGATGTAAAGCATCCATCAGCCCTCAAAGGTGGATATTACTTTATACTCACTTAACCGAAGGGGAGCTGGTACTCAGAGAGGGTCTATCCTGCCACCCAAAGCGTGGTGGGATGGGACTCAGGTATTTGATTCTAAAACCCATCGTCATTTGACCAGATGCCCACAGGATCAAGTCCAAATTTCCTAGCAGGGACCAAACCCACTTGTCCAACTTCTCCCTCCCATGCACCTGTCAGGCCAGCAACTTTGAACTCCCTGCTGGCTTCCAAACACGCCGTGCAACTTTCTACATCCGCATCTTTGTAAACGATATTTCCTTTTCACCAAATCCCCGAACGTCTTTCTCTATAAGTGAAATCCCTTCATGACGCATCGCAAATCTTACCTCCTCCATGGAAACTGCTCTTTGTCAGACAATTAATGAGAACAAGAGCCAACATTATTAGTATTTTCTTTGAGCCGTGAACTAGGCTGGCCGCTCTGCTGTATGTTCTACGTAATCTTTTTATGACAACCCTATGAGGTAGGCACTGATGGTCTCACTTCCAAGGGGCACATACAGGTTGAGAGAGGTTAAGTAACTTGGCCAGGGTCCCAGAGCTAGGGAGGTTTGGACCTGGGATTGTGCCCAGGTCTGTCTGATGTTCAAGTTCAGCTGTTATGACCACGCTCTAGGCAGCATCCGTTGTCTGCTCTCGCAGTTTCTCTTACAGACCTGGCTTTATAGCATTTGCTCAGTCTGTTGGGATGGTGCCTGTCTCCTGGAGGCTGGGAGACACATCCCTTTACGACTGTAACGTGGCCCACGGAGGTGATTCAGTCACTGTTTGTGGGAGAATGCTGGCACCTTGTCTTCACTGTGCCAACCCTGAACCTCAGTTTATTGTTCTATCCGTATTATTTCAACAGCATTTAGCAATTTGGGGAAACAAGATTTCCCCCAGTTCTTTTCTGTTGGTGCCACCATCTCTCTGCCTCTGAGTGGACTGTGTGCAGTTGACCACCCAGGCCCATTCCTGGCTCGGCTCCGAGCTTAGATTTCACTTTGGTTGCTTGGTGTGCATTGATTAGTGTTTTAAAAAGGTTCTTGTTTCATCCATAAATAAGTCATAGTTCGTAGCTGTGAATGAAAGAGAGGTTAAAAGTAGCAACCACAAAATGACTCTTTTTCCCCCCATAGCCTGCCTTCCTCTAGAAAAACCCCCCAATTCTGAGCAGCGATGTGAATCCACACACCCGTGTGGGCTTGCTCAGACTCAAAGAAGGGAAATGTGTTAAACTATCATTTCTCACTGATAAATAATAACAGCAGCAACATCAACAATAACATCCTGACTGCGGTCAGTTGGCACACTTCATGGTGCCTTTTATGCAGTGGCAGCCGGGGTGTAGCCAGGGCGCAGGCCCCGCCCTCTCAGGGCCCCTAGCCCTCTACAGCCCACTGTGATCGGGGATCTCGGAAGAGAGGCCCCCGCCAGCCCATGGGGTGGGAGGCGCAGGGAAGGGCCTGGGAGAGGGGCGATGGGAGGTGGTGGCGTGGGGCCTCTGGCACCAGCTGGAGCTTGGCGCAGTGCTCAGACAGCTCTTGCTTTGTCTGGGACAAGTGTCAACAGAGAGAGGAGGATTCAAACACAGGTCCCCTGGTGCCCAGCCTGCCCTCGGCAGGCTCTGAGTTCAGAGCAATGGTGGAGTGGAGGTTGTCTCTGGGGTGCACGCACCGACTCCCAGGTCCCTACTGTAGGGGTCTGAAGACCATGGGGAGGTGGGACGGTGCCTGGCAGCCCTCCCCAGCCCGTCTCCTCCCTTCTCACATCCCTTCTCTGACACCCACATCACTGCCTCGTCAGGGAAGATCATTCTTTCCTGGGACCACACAAACGAACGGTGTAAAGAATCCACTGGCTTCTGTTGCCTTGCCTTTTAACAGAGGTTCCAAACAACAGTTACCCAGGGGATGTGTCTGAGTCGCACTGTGGAAGGGTATGGAATTATCTACCAGCTTGACAAGTGATCCATCCCATCAGGATTTCTGGAGGAGAACAGGCCGGGTGCCGCCCTAGTCATCTCAGCTGGGCTTTGCCTGCCTGAGTCTCCTCCAGGATGCTGGAAGGAACTGGAAGGTCCACGGTAAAGTCAGCGTCTCAGCCGCAGGTGCCAGGAGAGCCGCATGGCCGTCAGCATGGCTCCCATCAACACCAGCCCTGGAACGACCCTTGGAGGAGCCAGGGGGCTTCTCCTCTTGTTTTCTCATCTTGGTTTGTGGCTACTTTGCCATGAGACAAGAGGCAAGGGGCGTTCAGCCTGGGCAGTGGCACCTCTGCCCTGTCTCCCACACAGGGTGGAGGAGGGCGCATGGCTTCGTGCAAGCGGCCATGTTTTGAAGGGTTTCTAAGAGCCCTAAGTGCATGCTATAGATCCATTGCCTCATGTTCTAGGAGGATGGGAAGGGATGTAATGACCGGGGTCTGGGCTGGGTCCCAGCTGATGCGTAATCCTGTCTCTGGCATCTCTCTGTGGGTTTCCCCTTGGTTTTGAGCGGTGGGGTTGGGGGGTTGCTAAGGGTTTCTTGTTCAGTATTCCTGGTCCCCGTGATAACAGAGGCTGTGAATTATGGACACAGCAGCAAATGTTTTTAATCTCCCGTGAAACAAAAACCAGTGTGTTTTCTGCACCAGGGGCCGAGGGCGAGGGAACAAACAGACAGCTGCTCTGATATGGCTAACTCAGGCTGACGTCAATGAGAGTCGGTCCTGGCCAAGGGCTCCACTCAGGAAGCTTCAAAGTGATACCGAAAACAAATTTGCATTTTTTCCTTTCACAGGAACTCAGCTACTCTCAGTTCCACCGAGATGTTTTCACCAGCCTCTGCAACTGGCTAGTTATGTTGAATAAACAGGGCTTGCAAGGTAATGGGAATGCAGCGTGAGTTTTTGCTTTATACTTCCCCTTTAAAATTTATGCAGCGGGATTAATGTTCCCTGGCCCTGGATGAAAACACTGGCAGGCGTTGACTTTTCTGCTCCTCTTAGGAAATAGTCTGTCCTAAGGTCGCTTGAAATGGAAAACAGTCTCAATTTGGAATGTGAACGTCTAGGCCAAGATATTAGTCAAAACTGTAAACTTTGACATCTCGTTCTTCTCCCCGCTCCAGCCTCACTTGTTTAGGGCTGGAAGCCTGCGTGGGAAAGGGGGCTTCTCTGCTGGACTCCTGCACCCCACTCCCGCTGCCCCCTCTCCCCCCAGGGTGGAAGCTAGGGTGGAGGGAGGAGTAGAAAAGAGAAGGCAGCTCTCACTTGAGTGGGGGAGTGGCAAGGGGCTGGCTGAGGCTCTGAGCTGACTCTTCTCCTGGTGGGGCTCTTCTGAGGGCCTGTGCTTCCTGCTAGGTGGAGGCATCGCTCTTCTGGGCGGTCACTTGCGACTTTTCCCTCCATCCCTGGGGTTTACCTCCAGCTCCTTGCTGCTGGGGTCTCCGGCCCTCCAGACAGGCCCGAGGAGGCGCCATACTGGCTCCTTCCCCGTGGGGCCTACATCTGGCTCCAACCTTCACGCATCGCTTGCCCTGACAAACTCTGGAATAGAAGGTGACCCCAACCCAGGGGCTTGCTGCAGGAGTCACCTGCCGATTCGTTCCCCGTGGTTGCTGGAACACATCACCACAAAACTTGATGGATTAAAGGAGAAGAAATGGACTC